GTCTGGTGAAAGGAGATGGGGATAAGATTCGTAAGATTCAATAGTGATTAACTGTTATCACGACTAATCGTGACTGTCACACTTGTAACAAAAAAAGGGGAGTGGTTAATCTTACAGTCCAGAAACAGAGGACCCTAGGACCATCAAGAAAGGAACGCACAAATGGAATGCAGGACCTTATCCAGAGAAGCAGCAGCGCCAGAGATGGAGGCAGAGATGGGGGTATGGAGAGGGGATGCGGCTGAGGACTCTAGCTTCATCAACTAAGAGAAGGACTAAGAACTGGTGGCCAGGAGCAAACTTGCAGAATGTGCCCTTTGGAGATGTAAATTATTATATATGTCTGAGTGGGTTTTTTTGTTTGTGTGTTTTTTAAAAAGCTAAAGTGAATAGAGAGAAATACTGTTAACTGATGGTATATAGAGGGGATTATAATCAATGTAATGAAAAAAGTTATATGAACTGTTGAATGTGAAACTGATCATGTGCCCTGTAAACTTTCACTCAATCCACAATAAAAACCTTAAATTAAAAAAAAAACAAAAACATACAATGGATTAAATTGACAACAGCAACTTCAAAGATTACATGGGAAACTAAGGGGGCAGTGAGTTATGGTAATAGGGGATGAAAATGAGGGTAAAAATGGATGTACAACTTGAAGAATATAATCACTGTCACTGAATTATACAAGTAGTTGTTGAATTAGTATGCTGTTACAGTAAAACTGTGCGCCATCAAGTCAGTTCTGACTCATGGAGATCCTCCTATATAGGGATCCTGAATAGCGGCTAGTGAGTTTGAACCAATGACCCTTGAAATGCAAACCAACTTTGAGGTCCAGTGCTATTGTACAGCGCCACACCAGGATGCCTATATATAGTTTTAACAACAAAAACATTAAGAAAATTTTTTAAAAATAAATGTGTATTTTCTCAATAACGAAAATTAGAATTTTTTTTTAAAGAGCAACCAATCCAAGATTGACTTTATTCATTAAAACTTCAACAAAGTTCACCTAATATATTTAACTTAAGATTTTAATAGGGGTGTCAGTTTAAATATTTCTACCTACATTTTTCTTATCTCTAAATTAAACTTCTATCAAAAATCTTACAGCATTTATTGATTTTCCAAAAAGCTTCTCCTCAAAACCAAAGAATAACATTATTTCTAAGTTAAAGTTTTCAACTGTTTTTCTCAGAATTAAATTTGCTACAGTAACAAAATTAGAAAGTCACCCATAAACTATTTCTATATACCATTCAGTTTTAAATTCATACAACCCTTTTCTACTTTTCTCTTAATTTCAGCCATTTACACATTTTGGTACACACAAAAACTGTGTCAATACTTTGAAGGGAAGTAAGTTTTAAAAAATACATGTAGGGAAGCACACTGTTTGTTCTCTTTAAGGGCTAGAATACTTCATAGTGAATGTTACATGTAAAAAATTAATAACGGAGTGATGGCTCTAAAAGTTTGACAAAAAATTTAAAAATTGTTACTGTACTTGATAAGATGGGATGAAAACACATTTGCATGAGATCTGTGATAGGTTTATCTGGAGTAATTATCTACTGAAACAATCTACAGTATTTCAAATTGCATAGAAATGTTTCCTACCTTGCCTGCTTCTCTTTCAAAATCGACATATTCCCGGCTAGGTGTTTGCCGTTGTTCTCCTTGCCAGCTGGCCGGAAAAAACTGGAGAGACAGATTGGTTCCTGTAGCCACAAAAGCCTTTTAGAAAAATCAATACAAACAGGATCAGGAGCAAGACATTACATAAATTATGCAGGCAGTCATTTATTTTTACATCAGTTTATGTCTTAAGCCAGGCAGTACAGAGAATACTTAAAAAGTAAAAAACATGCACTCATCATTTCTCTTAAAGTATTAAGTTACAAACATCTGATTCCAGTTGGAGGACATTCACCATTGGCTGCTTAAATATAAAATCAGACATGGAATCAATACTTTCTTTCAGGTCATTTTTTGCTGACATTAGGATCATGCATGGCTAATGTCTCACCAGAAGCCACCACTCTGCATTTAAAAACTCACAATTTTAAATATAAAAATCTCTGAAGATTCAGAGACTGAATTTTAGAGCACACAATTTAAAGTTGCATAAATGAGACCATTTAATTCTTGACTGCCCCTGCTCAAAGAAACTTCGCTGCTCTATACTCCAAGTAAAAAAATGTACTGGGGACTCTCTCTTGTGATAAATCCAACATTACCATATGACAGTACCTTTTATCTAAAACCCTGGATAATTTTGAAAATATGCATTTTCTAAAACTTGACTTAAAAAGAACTGGATTTGACTTTAACAAAAGAGAAGTGTCTGTTTATTATTTATAAGATTTGAATACATATCAACATACAAAACAATCTATTTGAGCAATTTAACTCTATTTTATGTGTCAGACTGCAAGTTGTTTGAACTGAAAGGTCAGTGGTTCAAGCTCACCAGCTGCTCCTTGGAAACCCTATACTGGGTCGCTATGGGTCGGAAGCGACTCAACGGCACTTAACAACAACAGAAAAAAAGGAGCTCTGGTAGCGTAGTGGTTATAAATTGGGCTGCTGATCTCAGGGTCAGCAGTTCGAAACTACCAGCTGTTCCATGGAATAAAGATGAGGCTTTCTGCTCCCATAAAGATTCATAGCCTCGGAAACCCTGTACAGGGTTGCTATGAGTTGGAACCGACTCCACCGCATATAACAACAACAACAATAGAAAGAATCCAGAAATATTAAGTATAAGAAGCATTTGAAAATACATTTTGAATCACCAAATATAAGCTCTTCGTTAAAAACAGAGAGTTTTTGTTTACTTTACAAACGGAAGCTATCATGCATAATTGGTTCCCTAGCAGAGTCTTCACCTGAAAACTAAGGGCTCACTTTCAGGACAGTCTGTTTGAAGCCCTCAGCTGATTCAGCCATCTACTAGTTACAGACTGGCTACTGGCTTAGATTCTTTAGAGGTCAACAGACCTCCTATTCCTAATATTGGTACCTTCGGCACACTGGTCAACCAAACGGTTACCTCTTTAGACCTGTGTGAAGACATTTTTCTGAATTAACTGAGATGCCCTTTGTGGTAAATTTTTCATGTGAACAGAGACTGTTCACAATAATTTGTTGTTGTTGTTATGTGCCGTGGAGTCGGTTCCAACTCATAGCGACCCTGCACAGGGTTTCCGAGGCTTTTAATCTTTACGGGAGCAGAACGCCTCATCTTTCTCCCGGCGGAGCAGCTGGTAGTTTCGAACTGCTGACCTTACGGTTCGCAGCCTGATTCGTAACCACACTACCAGAGCTCCTTAACACCAATAATATCAACTTAAAAAAAAATCCTTCCTTGTACTTTTAATGACTTTTAGTGTAAGTTAAAAATCAATCACATGAAGTGAAATGGATCAACAAAAGCACCATCAACATTGGTTCAAATTAAATACTGATGCTAGAGAAAAATGTCCAGTCTGTGTGAGCTGGGGAAAATTACTTAGCCTATTTGTGACTCAGTTTCCTCACAAGTTAATATTTGTAAAATATTGAATAGGACTTACAGAGTAAATGTTATTTAAGTGTGTCTGCTAAATAAAATAAGAAAAATAGCTTTCAGCTTGATAAAACAACCAAGTTTTTCATACTCAATTAATGAAATTTCGGAGCAGAGTGGTGGGGCAGGTAAGCCAGAGATTGAGTCCATGAATGAATGCTGTGTCTTCAGTACTTACCTGGCTAAGAAAACCTCTCCCACCAGTGTGCCCACAAAAGCTCTGTGTTACGTGAAGACAATCTGCAGATTTTATTACCTCACCTCTGTCTGAATGCCAACTTCAGAAGAGATTTCCTGCTTCATCACTTTATGTCCATTATCTCATCAAGATTTCTCTTTCTGAGACAGGAAAAGTGGTAAAAACAGATCTCTCCTGAAGAGCAGTTTCCAAACTTGTTTGACCACAGAATTTTTATTTTGTGGAATATCTACACATACATAAGAGTTGGAAAAATTCAGTTCAAAAACATAAACACACCACACTGATAAAATGTTCAAATGTATAATTTTCAGACTGTCCTAACTATATTTTACAGGCTTCATAAATAATAAAACTGTACACCTGGTGCCAATCCAACATACCTTTTACCATCCAATTCTCAGGAATAGGAGGTATGACAGTTTTTACTGATCTCACAGTAGAGATGGGCATACCCCTCACTTGCATTTTTTCATTCATTCATCATTAGCACTGAAGACATTCCAACACTTGCCATGATAAGAACTTAAAAGAGGAATAAAACAGATTCTACCAAATAAATTCTCTCGCCTATAATCACTTATTTCAGGTTGTGATAGGAATCTAAGTTTTTTTTAATAATTAAGGAGAGATGAGTATCATGGCCCTTAAATTCTTTCACATCAAACAACTATTCACAAATACTTTATTACTCTCACTGATTCTTTTTAAAATAAGAAATTTCTAAAAGCGGGGAAAAAGAAAAAGACATTTAGGACTGGAAATGAGTTGGAAAGTGTTTGGGGAACTGTGTACATTTTTACTGCATATGACTGTGTCAGAATAGTGGCAAAATAATACATTCTCCACAACCTACTTTCCATAACCAAAAAGTAGGCCAAAAAGTCTGTTTATAAGCCATTATGATAAATTTCAGGCATTAAATTAAGCAACCAATAAATTCAAATCATCAAGTACCTATAATGCAAAAAGGCATTATGTAAATCATGGAGGGGACAGATAGAAAGATAGAGACTTATACACAAAACACATTCAGTTCTGTACAGTTGTGGTCTTTATCCTCTAAGAAATAATAATCCTAAAATTTATATTGGGTAGTATTGAATTAAGGGAGATACTAGAAAGAGAGGGAGATTTATGAAATTCCTCTTCAAATGCAAGTAATTATATCATTCAACAAAATAAGTGTGCTGCCTTAAGCGCAAATCTTACACAGAATTCAATTTATGTTCTTTAACCTTTAATACCTGTCAAAAATAAAAACATATTAAAATATGTAGGATTAGATATTTGTAAGAAGGAAGAGGTACAGAATATCCGACTCTTCCCTGGAAATAAATTTGTAACACAAACAGCCAATAAAGCATTATAAAACAACTCAGATATACTGTGGGCCTAACTATGCCCTCAATGCATCATTACATGCCAAAAATCTTGGGACAGAACACACCCCAATAATGCTGCTTTCCTAAAATTTCTGAAAAACCTGAGTTTTTCTAACAATATCAAGAGTACTTTCTCTTTTTTAAAATTACATCAATAACCTCCAGGAAATCCATTGGTGGCATATCCCATCCACCAAAAAAGGAAATTCAGGCAAAAGATGACATACTGACTAGGCTAACTAATGTAAATGAGTCTACCACTCAGTGCCACCACCTAAATTGTCTTTTGGCAATACATTTGAATCAGAAATAGAACTACTCAAACTTTGGAAGTGGTTAAGAGCTGGAGATTTCTTTCATAACAGGCTTCAATGGCCAAATATTCCAGCGTCTCAGTAACCATAACACAATCTTAAAAGTCTTCATTTTAAATATGAAAATATTCTTTAAATATAAATCAATTTGGGTAATGAAATCTGGAGTTAGGTAGTGAAAGTGATGATGGTTGCACAACTTTTTGACTATGTTAAGAACTGCTAAACGGTACACTTCAAAGGGGTGTACAGGAGGCCTTCAAAAAGTTCATGGGAAAATGGAATTAAAGGTAGTGGAATTTTCCCACTATCTTTTTGAAATATGGTAGAATCCCCTAGTGTTTTATAATATGTGAATTATATCTCAATAAAAAACAAAACCCATATTCTCTGTAAAGGAGGTGGGAGCAGTTCACTTTTCCAGCATGCCTTCCTTCAGTAAACAAGTTGCAAATGCCATGGGACTCAAGTCATAAGAGATTCTGCTAAAATTCCGTGGTACAGCGCACCTCTTTAAAAAATAATCTACCTCTTGCCTTTAGTTTCTTCCCACCCACTCTTTGACCTCATCCTCCCCTCATGAGCACCTCCAAGAGGACAAACCAAAAGAAGAGGGCACCTAAGACACCTGAATGGTTTGGTGGAAGCAAGTCATCAAATCTACCACCCAAAACCAGATCAATCGGGGTTCTGACAGCAACAAACTGGGTATGCGATAAAGGGTTGCTTTCTCATCCTCCAGGCTTAACATGCCAAAAAATTAAAATAGCATATTCCTTAGGGTTGTTGTTTTTCCTCTATTAGTACAGTTAATTAATTGATGGACCGATTTATCCTCACTTGGCTGGAAGAAACGATAGCTTCACATTTAGATTTACAAACAAACCTAACTCCTAAGAAACAAACTACCGCCTAGTCGCCAGAATCTTGAACGAAGGCCACTTCTCTCTCCTAACGGGTGTTTTTTGCCTGCGGGACCCTGACGCCTACACGGGGACTACCCCTCCGCCTTAGGTGGGCTCCGATCATTGCACCGCGTGCTTAACTGCCGAGTTCTGGGGAACGGAACCCACCCCAGAGGCCGCAGGGAAAGCGTCTCCCCGCCAGGACGCCGCCCGCGCAGGTTTGCTCTCGCAGTTTGAATCCCGAGTAGGAAGTGAGACAGCGCCCGCTCAGTTCCGGGAGCCGCGGTGGCGCCGTCCGAACCCAGCCTGGGCCGCGGCAATCCCCGCGCAACAAGTGCCCCGCGCAACAAGTGCCCCGCGCGCGCTCCGGCCCCTCGCGCGCCCCGGACCCCGCCAACTTACGATTTCCGAGCGGCCGTCGCGGCAGGCATTCTGGAAGCGCGCCTGGCGCTCCTCGTGGGGCCGGTCCCTGAAGCCCGTGTACTTAATCTGCAAGGCAGAGACGGCCCGAAATCAGGAGCCAAAGCCGCGGCGCCGCCCGCGCGCCGCCCGATAAGGGCAGGCAGTCTGTGGGCGAGATTGGCCCTCAGCGGCCGCTCCGGCCTGGACATCGGGGGGCCGCGCCGCTCAAACTTTTCTCCGTCCGGGCCCACTCCGAGTGCGCTGCGGCCTCCGCGCCGCTCGCCCGCCCGCCCGCCTCACCTCACACTCGCGGCTCAGCTTCCTGAAGAACTCCTCATTCTCGAACTTGCTTCTCTGATCGGGCACGACGCGCGGCATCTTCCCGTCCTGAAGCCGCGCCTACCGGCCGAGCTCAGGACTTGTGCGGGTACCAGCTGGCAGACTCCGCAATGACCGACTGACCGCCCACCCGCGGCGCCCCGACTCCCGCTTCCCTTTGTTTCAGGCGCCCGCCCGCCCGCGTGGGCTCCCGCTCCCGGGAGTCTGACGCGCCGCAGCCTACTGCAGCCCAGCCCACGTCGCCGCTGCCGCCTCAGCCGTTGCCTGCCGCCAGCGAAGACCCAACTCTCGCCGCCCCCAGCCGCCGCCACTTCCTCTCACCGCCCACCTCGCGCGCCCGCCGTCCCCGCCCCCGTTGGCCCCACCCCGCCTCCTCGCGCGCCCGCCCGCCCCAAACTGTGGCTAACAAGACGCACCATTCACAACTCTACGGCCCGTTTCACGCATGCGCCGCCCGCCAGCTCACAGTACTGCGGCGGTCCAGAGCTCCTTTCTCTGCGCTGCTTTTTCCCCTTGGCCTTCTCGGTGCCCCTCCGCGAGGAAACGCCCTGTAGGGATCTTCCTTGCCCTAAACGGCTAATAGCGCTCCTTGCGGGCCTTTTCACCAACCTTCCTCGGTGTCCTGGAACTTCTGGAAACCCGACTCGCAGAGTAAACCCAGATTGCCACCTAAACCCGAGGCAGTCTGAGTCCTTGAGAATTTTGCACCCCAAAACCCACGGGGGGGGGGGGAGAATGTAGGCTCTATGCCTCGAATACTAAAGGTAGACTCCGACTAAAGATGCCAAGTGTATCCGCATTATAGTGGAGAGGTCGTGGCTGGAGATAAGACCCCTGTCTGCCTGCTAGGAGTTTTAAACAAAACCTGGACCTTAAACTTCAGTTTCTTTATTTCCAGAAAGCAGACACGATTTGACAGTGTTAGTGTGAGTGACATTATGTAAATAACAATCTTTATGTTTTTCTAGCACAAAATGTCATCACCTAACCATCAGTGGTGTTGGAGAAGAATATTAAAAGTACTCTGGACTGCCAGAAGAACAAACAAATCTATCTTGGAAGAGGTTTAGCTAAAATGCTTCTTAGAAGCCAGGATGACTCGATTTCATTGCTCTTACTTTGGGCAAGTTATCAGGAGGGGTCAGTCCCTGAAGGATATCATATTTGGTAAAGTGGAGAGTCAGCGAAAAAGAGGAAGACCTCAAGGAGAAGGACTGGCACAGTGGCACAACAGTGGGCTCAAGTGTAACAACAATTGTGAGGATGGCACAGGAATGGGCAGTGTTTTATTCTGTTATGCATAGTATCACTATTAATCATAACCAACTTCACGGCACCTAACTCAAGCCATCAGTTTGCTGTATTGTGATACCTTGCAATACTGAAAGATATACCACAAGGTCACCAATGATAGGCTGCTTTCATGGGGGAACTTCTAAGACTAAGACTAGATGGAAAGACCTGGCAATCTACTTCTGAAAATTAGCCAATGAAAATCCTGTGGGCCATCTCCTAGATGATTGGCAGCTTCAGAGAAAACCTGGTGGTTGAAAGAAGGGAAGAGCAATTTCCCACAAAAGGAGTGCCTGGGGCTGCATTGTAGACCCCCTGAACAATTTGTGTCAACTACATTTGGCAAAGGATGTTGTTTTTATTTTGCTGCCTAAAGGTTCTGGTAAAGTGATAAGGAAACTCCACATCAACACAGGCACAGTGCAAACAAAACCAGCCTTGCAGTATTTGCAACTTAGTACTGGGAGAAAAGTGAGACACCTTCTCCTCAAGAGACCAAGGCGCAAGAAGTAGAAGCCCCTTCATTCATCTGCTCCCTCTCCCACAAGACTTGGAGGCCCAGTAGAGTGGGTCTTACAGTATAGAAGTTTCAGCTTCTGGTCCCCATGGTGGAAAAAAAAAAAAAGTAAAAATATCCTATGTAGTACCATTCAGTACTTTCACATTCTGTTCAGGTAGACTTTTGTATGAAACTTTCCATCCATTGTTGTCTCTAACAAATGATCCACAAGCACTCTTACATGGATCCAGAGGGACTTCATAGAACATGTAGCTGATCTCGGCCTTTGGATTCCAGCAAAATTGTTTCTACTACAGAAAATGTGAAGTAGCCCAAAGGTGTATATTCACTGACATGGTCTAACTGGTCAACTAGAAGCCATGAGCTTTAAGAAGAAAAAGATCAGGGTGGAGACAAAGCCAGGGAGGTCACACTATCAGCTTTATTGGGCCCTGAGACTGGGAATGATGTCCTGAGGGGAAATAATGGGAAAGCCTGCCAGACAGACCCAGAACAGCACAACTACAGACCTCCTTTGACAACTCCAGGCTAGCCCACATACGGCCGACTGGGAAATAAACCACTGGCTAAAGGAGGCAATCTCCTCACCTGAACTCTATATGCCTTAATTTTTAATTGTTGTTAAATAAAAAATTGTTAATTAAGAAAGGTGTGCAACAGGGTTGTAGTCTTTCACCATACTTATTCAACCTGTATGCTGAGCAAAGAATCTGAGAAGCTGGGTTATATGAATAAAAACATGGCGTCAGGATTGGAGGAAGTCTCATTAACGACCTGTGATATGCAAATGATACAACTTTGCTTGCTGAAAGTGAAGAGGACTTAAAATATTTACTGATGAAGATAAAAGAACACAGCCTTTGGTATGGATTGCATCTCAATGTAAAGAAAACAAAAATCCTCACCACTGGACCAATAAACAACATTCTTATCAATGGAGAAAAGATTGAAATTGTCAAGGACTTTATTCTTCTTGGATCAACTATCAACACTCATGGAAGCAGCAGTCAAGAAATCAAAGGACGTATTGCATTAGGCAAATCTGCTGCACAAGACCTTTTTAAAGTGTTGAAGAGCAAAAATGTCAGCTTGAGGACTAAGGTGCACCTGACCCAAGCCATGGTATTTTCAGTAACCTCATATGCATGCGAAAGCTGGACAGTGAATAAGGAAGATTGTATAAGAATTGATGCTTTTGAGTTATGGTGTTGAAGGAGAATATTGAAAGTGCCATGGACTGCCAAAAGAACCAACAAATCTGTGTTGGAAGAATGCAGCCAGAGTGCTCCTTGGAGACCTAGATGGCCAAACTTTGTCTCTTATACTTGGGACACATTGTCAGGAAGGACAGTCACTGGAGAAGGATATCATATTTGGTAAGGTGGAGGGACAAAGAAAAAGAGGAAGACAACCCCCCCCCCCAGCGAGATGGATTTGCAAAGTGGCAGCATCAATGGGCTCAAGCGTGTCAACAATTATGAGGTTGGCCCAGGACTGGGCAGTGTTCGTTCTGTTGTATATAGGGTCGCTATGAGTCAGTATCAACTTAATGGCACCTAACAGCAACAACGTTTTTTCACATATTTAAAAAACTGGATTAAATGAATTTAATAAATGAAATTTTCATATATGTCAGGTATGTTTAGCTCTGTGCTCCTAACAGCTGTTTAGCTAGGTTTGGATTGGTCCAGCCACTAACCCATTGAGGGTTCTATTAAGAGTCTCAGCCCTTCTAGGGCACACAGAAGGAAACACAAGAGAGTCTTCTAGCTACCTAGAAACCTACCCTCCCCCAAAACACCTGACTGAAGTCCTGCACCTGAAATGTCCCTTTTCTAAGGATCCAGCCAGCCTCTTCTGAAGATGCCTCTTCTGAGCGTCTTCCTACCCTGCTTGGTGGGCAGCTGTTCCTGCAGGAACCCCAGGCTGACCCTCAGTGAGAGAGCAGAAAATGCAGAATGATGCAGAGCTCTATTATGTCACTGGTTTCAATTAATTTACCATCTAAGGCCTTCCTTTCCCAATCGGACAAATGAGGATGCTAAACACTTAAATAAGTCACCACAGGGCAGTGACAAGATCCTGACCTATTAGAAATAATAAAATGGACGAACATGGATGCATATCATCTTTATTCACTCCACCACAATGCTGTAACTATGGTATTGTTGTCCCTGTTCTACAAACAAGGAGATTGAGGCTCAGAGAGGTTGAGTGACTTATCCAGGGCTGCCCATGTTCTTAACCATTCTACCATGAAGCATCTATAGATGTCAGAAGTCCAGTTTATCTCTCTAAATGAACCAAGAGATCACGGAGAGCTGGGCCCAGGGTCACTCTTCCTGAAAAATCCTCTATGATCCTGAAAGTCCACAAAAGGTTAGATGAAAAGGGTCCTATTGTGGGCCTTGTGGCTCTTGTCCTTAAGAGTTGTGCATTCCCACATGATTACAGAAAGCTTGTAAGCCCATCTTTAGCTTATAACTGATTGGAATACCTAAAAGGGGTTCCACAACTTGCCCAGTGAACAGAGTTTTTGTAGTTTATAGGACCTTAGGTGGAATCCTGAGCCCCATCCAAAACTTTTTGAGGTGGGACATTCCCACCAGAAAGGACAAGCAGACCAGCCTGGAACAGCTAGAGCAACAGAAGATACATCTTCAAAGAAAGATCATCAGGAACAACCCAAAACAAAAATGTCAGCATGACTGGCAACTACTACAAGAATAAGCAAGTTGTTCACCAGGAAGCCATCAAGGTAAGCAATCAAGTCCCTTCAGAACAAACCCCCCTCTAAGACTGAAACTCAAAGGGAACACATGAGCAGGCATGTAAGTTTGCTGGCAACCACATTGGTTTACTGGTGAGTGGAAAAGGGGGAAAGGCAGCAATGAAGAAATGGGCTGAGTTCAACTACACTCCATAGACTCCCATTGACCTGGAGATGAGAGAGCCTGGGGACATCTGAGCCCATGGACAAGGACATAGCCACAGAGGGCTAGAGCTGAGAGTGAAGCATCCAGCTGATATGAAGGGAGGGGAGATGCACAAGAACACCCAAACTTGCAGATAGTACCCATTTGACCTAGCCTCAATGACTTGATAATCAGAACTGGACTAGAGGAAGATTAAAAAAAAAAAAAAGTTTTGATAAGGGAAACAAGGGTAAATTGCTACATACACTTTGATGAACTTGACCTATACTCATGGAGGTTGTTGTTGTTGTTGTTATGTGCCAT